CCAAAAAAAAAAAAAAAATGTGTATAATCTTGTGTGTCAAAAGACTTAATAGGCACGTAGCAGGAGCTCAATAAATGCAGGTTAGATCATTCCACTGCTTCAGGAACTAGCACTTAGGGCTGCCGAGTGCCAGCTGTATGTCAAGCCCTCTGGTCAGCCCCATTGTGCAGACCTTAGAAATGGAGGCTTAGCTAGGAAGGAGCCAGGTGGGACTCCAACCAAGCCTGCTGGAAGCCAGCGCCCTGCTCCCCAGCGAGGACCACACTGGCTTCCTCCCTGGCGTGTGCAGTTGGGAGGCACCAGATGCTCTGGAAGTGATGCCACCTGTGAGGGAAACCTATTCTTAGAAAGCAGAGCCCAGAGCTGGTGGAGCTGGCCAAGCCCCCGCAGCGGTGATGGGGGACTTCCAGCTGGGGGCAGGACAGACTACAGCAGGATGTCCTCAGTTCTCAGGGCCACACTTCCTCCCACATGTGGATACTGTATTAGAAATAACAGCTGAATGTATTGGGTGCTCCTTCTGTATGTGTCGTATCACATATTACTCCAGACCACCCCAAGAGGTGTGTTGCCATGAGATGCCTATCTTATAGACAAGGAAATAGCACAGAATGTTTGTCACTTGCTCAAGGAAATACTGTAGTGTGGCCAGGGAAAGCCTGTCCCTAATCCACAAGAATTTGCAAGTGATTCTTTCTTTTTTTTTTTTTTTTTTTTTTGAGTTGGAGTCGCACTCTGTCGCCCCGACTGGAATGCAGTGCCAAGCTCCTGGCCACCACAGCCTCGACCGGCTGGTGGTCTCTGGAGATCCTTCCGCCTCAGGCTTCCAAGTAGCTGGAACTACAGGCGCGTGCTACCACACCCGGCTAATTTTTTGATGTATTGTAGAGATGAGGTCTCGCCAAGTTGCCCAGGCGGGTCTCGAACCCGCGGGCTCAGGCAATCCACTCACCTCAGCCTCCCAAAGCGCGGGATTACAGGTTGAACCACCGAGCCTGGCTTGCAAGTGTTTCTTACAGGAAGAGCCTTCATAAGATGTTTTGGAGGGGCGTGAGGAGGGAAGATGGGCAGAGTGTGTTGTCAGGCCAGTCACCACCATGGGCAGCTGAAACTTACTCCTGCTGGGGAGCCCTGGGAATCCTGTGAGAGTGCACCTCTGAGTTACCCTACCCTAGGGGTAAGGGGTGTAAGCTGCAGGGATGGAGGTACTTATCAGTTACTGGCCAAGCACTGCTCCAAGAAGGCGCTATGCACCCAGCCCTTTGGGCCTGCTGCAGGGTGGCAAGCAGAAAGACAGAGCAACTGGAAACATTGGTAGGTCACCTGCTGTAAAACCCATTTGGTGATGGCCAACCTGCCCATGACCTCAAGGCCCATTCAATCTCCATAGAGTGAGTTAAAAGATCTTCAGGCCTGGTGCAGTGGCTTATGCCTGTAATTCTAGCACTTTGGGAGGCAGAGGCGAGAGGACTGCCTGAGTCCAGGGGTTTAAGACCAGCCTGGGCAACTTGGTGAGACCTCATCTCTACAATAAATAAAAAATCAGCCAGGTGTGGTGGCGCACACCTGTAGTTCCAGCTACTTGGAACACTGAGGCGGAAGGATCACCTGGGCCTAGCAGGACAAGGCTGCAGTGGCCGTGAGCATGCCACTGCACTCTATCCTGGGCAATAGAGTGAGACTCCAATTAAAAAAAAAAAAATCTTCAAAGTCACCTCCTCTGAGCTTGCAAGATGTTGCAGTTGAGAACACATGGCATGCAGAGTCAGACATGATCCTACTCAATTACCTAATGTCTCTGCGACTTGTTTGTCACATGGGCTAACAATGATTGGCCCTGTGTCACTCCCCACTCCCCCGTTACTCAGACCAGCAGCACCTGTAGTCTTGGAAGCCTGTGAAGATGTGCTGAGTCAGAAGCTGCATTTTTTTCTTTTGAGTTGGAGCCTCACTCTGTCACCCAGGCTGGAGTGCAGTGGCTCACTCACGGCCACCGCAGCCTCAACCTGCTGGGCTCAGGGGATCCTTCCGCCTCAGCCTTCCAAGTAGCTGGAACTACAGGCATGTGCCACCATGCCCAGCTAATTTTTTGATTTGTAGTAGAGATGAGATCTTGCCAAGTTGCCCAAACTGGTTTCAAACCTGTGGACTCAAGCGATCCTCCTTCCTTGGCCTCCCAAAGTGCTGGGATTATAGACATGAGCTACTGCGCCTGGCAGAAGCTGCATTTTAATACGCTCTGGTGACTCACATGTGCATTTCTACTAGCAACTACTAAAATATAAAGAGAGACAAATGAGATAGGTATATGAATAGAAGCATACCTACTAGACTGAGGTCTCAGATTGGCAGTCTACAGACCAAACTTTCCAGGAGACTTGTTTGATTTGTCCAGCGGGGGATGGTTTTAAAGCCTCCAGCTCACCATGCCACGTAGCTCCTCACTGCACAGCACCCTGGACGTTTCCATCTATGCCACTGCAGGAACCTGGAGGCATTTGAGTTTGTACCCTACCCCATCCTATAAGGAGCTAATATTTGCATAGCATGGTTTAGGATTCTAAATTTGAAGCAAGGCACTGAAAAAAACTTGGGCTTTGAAATCAGACAGATCTTGGGCAAGTGACCCCCTCTGACCCTCGGTTTCCATATCTGTGAAGTGGGTATCAAAATACATATCTGCAAAGTCATTGTGGGGGTTAAAAATAATATGTGCAAGCTGGGCTTGGTGGCTCAGATTGCAATCCCACGCCTTTGGGAGGCTGAGAGTGAGTGGATTGCCTGAGCCCGCGGGTTCGAGACCTACCTGGGCAACTTGGCGAGACCTCATCTCTACAATAAAGCAAAAATTAGCCGGGTGTGGTAGCGCGCGACTGTAGTTCTAGCTATTGGAAAGCTGAGGCCGAAGGATCGCCGGAGGTTAAGGTTGCGGTGGCCAGGAGCAGCCACTGCACTCCAGTCTGGGTGACAGAGTGAGACTACAACTCAAAAAAAAAATAATAATAATAATATGTGCAAAACACCCAGAAGCAAGGAGGAGCCCATGAAATGGAATCAGCAGGAGTGAAGCGTTACAGCTGTACAAGTCCAGTGTGGATACCAGGAACTATGATGATTATCCTCATCTTACGGTAAATTAAGGCTCTGAGAGGTCCAGAACCTCTCCAAGGTCATATGGGGTGGAGTGGGGACTCAAGCTCTAGATATGCACTGTCCACGAGAATCTTCTGTGAGGATGTAAATGTTTTCCATCTGTGCTGCCCACAGCAGTAGCCATGAGCTACATGTGGTGACTTGAGCCCTGGAAACGCAGCTGGTCCAAACTGCAGTGCACTGTTAAGTGTCAAACACATACCTGATTCTGCGGACTTAGGAGAAGAAAAAAGAGCATAAAATATTCATTTTTCATGTTAATTCTATGTTGAAACGGCAACACTTTAGAAATACTTGGCTGAAGTATATAATTCAGGTTGATCTCACCTGTTTCTACTTGTCAGTGTGGCTACTAGGAACATTTTCATTGCGTTTGTGGCTCATGCGGTGTTTCTACTGTACCGTGGGCTCTAGAACTTCTCCAACAGAGCAGCACCTGAGACATGGGACTTATTCAACCCCTGCCCACCTGCAAGGAACCCTCTGTGACATGAATTGGAGGCCCATGCCTTCGAGGAGCCACGCTCCTCAGGAGAGTCTGTGCGTGGAGCCAAGCCTCGAACCACAGCCGACACCAAGCCTGCATCACTTGGCGGGGCGGCGCTTGTTGAAGACGAGGAAGTCCGAGACGTCGTGCCACACGTTGCTGTCCTCGTAGAGGTAGGTCATGGAGGACTGCAGTGAGGGCTGCAGAGTGGCCCGGTGGTATTCAAAGAGCCACAGCACCAGCCCCCACACCAGCGCGGTGAGCACTGGGAAGGGGTCCCACCGGGGCTCAGGGATGTAGCCCTTCTCCATGCCCAGGCGACCCAGGGCACACAGCACACGTGAGAGCAGGTACATGTTGATCTGTAGGGAGGGAATGACAGGGATTACTGTGGGCACAGCCACCGAGAACCTTCTTCCTGCCCACCTGCACACACGGGGCCTCTGTTGTGCCTTGGGTCAGTGCTTCTCAGAGTGGCTGAGCAAGAGGATTTGGCGAGATATGGCACAGACCTTTTAGATATTACTAGTTATGTCTTTCACTTATCATTCTTTTCATTGAAAATGAAATACATTTATAAGGTTCAAAACCAAAAGAAAATTGACACCCAAAACATGATCCGTAAAGGGAAAAATTTTTCTCTGTGGAAGCCCACATGAGGAAGATGAAGAGAAAAGCTACAGACTAGGAGAAGATATTTATAAATACACACATAACAAAGGATTAGTATCTGGAATATACTTTACTTTATTTATTTATTTTTGGATCAGGGTCTCACTCCGTCACCCAGGCTGGAGTGCGGTGGCACGATCACGGCTCACTGTAGCCTTATCCTTCCGCCTCAGCCTCCCAAGATGCTGGGACTACAGGTTAATGCCACCACACTCAGCTAACTTCTTTCTTTCTTTCTTTCTTTTTTTCTTTCCTTCTTTCCTTCGTTCTTTCGTTCTTTCCTTCGTTCTTTCGTTCTTTCCTTCGTTCTTTCCTTCTTTCTTTCGTTCTTTCTTTCTTTCTTTCGTTCTTTCTTTCGTTCTTTCTTTCTTTCGTTCTTTCTTTCGTTCTTTCGTTCTTTCTTTCGTTCTTTCGTTCTCGTTCTTTTGTTCTTTCGTTCTTTCTCGTTCTTTCTTTCTTTCGTTCTTTCTCGTTCTCTCTCTCTCTCTCTGTCTCTCTGTCTGTCTGTCTGTCTGTCTGTCTTTCTGTCTTTCTTTCTGTCTTTCTTTCTGTCTGTCTTTCTTTCTTTCTTTCTGTCTGTCTTTCTGTCTGTCTTTCTGTCTGTCTTTCTGTCTTTCTTTCTTTCTTTCTTTCTCGTTCTTTCTCTCTCTCTCTTTCTGTCTCTCTCTTTCTTTCTCTCTTTCTTTCTTTCTCTCTTTCTTTCTTTCTCTCTCGTTCTTTCTTTCTCTCTCTCTCTTTCTTTCTCTCTCTCTCTTTCTTTCTCTCTTTCTTTCTTTCTGTTTTTTCACTTTTTTGTAGAAATATGGTCTTATTATGTTGCTCATGCTGGTCTCGAACCCCTGGGCTCAGGCAATCCTCTCGCCTCAGCCTCCCAAAGTGCTGGGATTACAGGCTTGAGCCACCATGCCCAGAGCATGTTTAGTTTTAAAAGAAACTGCTGCACTGTTTCCACAGTGACTATACCACTTTACGTGCCACCTGGAGTATCCAAGTGATCTGGTTTCTCTACACCCTAGGCAGCAGGTGATTTACTGTACTTTTTATTTATTTATTTTTTGAGTCAGCATGTCACTCTGTCGCCTAGGCTGGAATGCAGTAGCACACTCAAGGCCACTGCAGTCTTGACCTGCTGGGCTCAGGTGATCCTTCCACCTCAGCCTTCCAAGTAACTTGAACCACAGGTATGTACCACCATGACTGGCTAAATTTTGATTTATTGTAGAAACGAGGTCTCACCAATTTGCCCAGGATGGTCATGAACCCCTGGACTCAGGCAATTGTTTCGCCTTTGCCTCCCAAAAGTGCTGAAATTACAGGCGTGAGCTACTGTGCCCGGCTGTCTCTGTGCTTCTGTATTTTCCTGATGGCTAATAACGCTGGACATCTTTTCATGTACTTATTTGCCACCTATATGACCTCTTTGGTGAAATGTCTGTTTATGTCTTTTGACCATTTTCCAGTTGTGTTGTTTCTTTTTTTAACTACTGAGTTTTGAGAATTTTAAAAATATATTTTAGGCCATGCATAGTAGCTCAAGTCTGTAATCCTAGCACTTTGGGAGGCCGAGGTGAGAGGACTGCCTGAGCCCACGGGTTCGAGAGCAGCCTGGGCAACTTGGCGAGACCTTGTCTCTACAATAAATAAAAAAAATTAGCTGGGTACGGTAGTGCATGCCTGTAGTTCCAGCTACTTGGAAGGCTGAGGTGGAAGGATCGCCTGAGCCCAGCAGGTCAACGCTGGGTG